ATTTAAATACAAAAACTGAACATTTTTTGGCCATATTTGACAAGAAGTTCGACAGAAGCGTACTCAACCCGTCGTAAACGCTTCCAATACTTTAATCCTTTGTAGCGACTTATTAAGCTGTTTTCTGTTAGTTATATAGACAAAAGATTGTACTGTAAGTTACTTGGCAATAAAAAAAATATATAATAAAATTCTTCTAAATGTACGACTCTATTTGATCCACTGTCTTGCTTTCGTGCGATTGATTGAAAATGTTGTATTTTGTTTATTCTGTCTTTAAGTTAAATAAGCAATATTGGAATAAGAAAACATGTGATAGTTATGGTTTTGACTAAAAAGCCTCACATGTACCAAACAGTCAAAAATTAAGGAATCTACTTGCTCCTTGATCTTGAGGTATGATTACTAGTCGAAAGTTATCGTACTAATGTTACTGGAAAAGTCGACATGCTAAAAAGCTTGGGCATATGTTCACTTATGACTTAGGCTTGTTTTCAACATTTCGACTCTTACCTCTTCCAAGATATTCGCACGGGCAGTCTCCAGTTTCCCAGAACTTACAAAAGCGGGCGCGTGGGCGTAGGACAACTTTCACTCGGACCGAGAAGAACTGGAAACTGCCGGTGATGAAACAACCTCAAAAAAAGCCGAATAATTCCACCTCGAAATTGTCCGATGAGGATGAACGTTGAAAAGTTGCGGTAGGTAGGAAGCACGGGGAAGAGTAGGGTTGGTGGTGACGTCGAACCATGGCGCCTACCTTCACTTAGCACCCCCATAAAAGTGAAGAGCTCACCCCCGGCACCCGTTATATGAAGGACTCCCTCACGACACCATATATCATTGTATCAACACCACCCCGGGGCCCCTAACCTTTCCACGTTGACACCTGTAAACGGTGCCGTCGAGGAATAAAATATTTGCATTCCTCTTTTTAAAAAAAAATCCTCCAAAAACTGCCAAATCGGTGTGAAAATATATTTTATCTTTTCTCTTTCTACCACCTAAAGATAAAAACAATAAATCTTCTTTGGGTGAAATGACTCGTGAACTTTTGAAAAAGAGAACATGCGCCTTGCGTTCGAAGCATTAGAAACCATTTTGAAATTGAGTGAAATGTATGATGATTTGCACAAATGATCAAATTTAAAAAAAAAATTTGTATACCCCGTTAAAAAGTTTTGTTCAAAATTAAAATAGTTGACAACCCTTTGAAATTATTCACTTTTGGATCCGTCCACCTTCGCTATTCATATCTCGTACTCGTATAGACAAGCTCAGAGAAAAAGTAAATAAAAAATATTTTTATATACAACAATAACAACTTTCAGGTTCAATTCAATAAATATATTTGTGTATTTATATTATTGAATGTAATCCTAGTAAGGAAGGATGTAATCCGCTATTTTTTTATCATTCATTTTCGCAGACAATATTGTCTAACTGAATAAATTCAATTGAACCCTTCTAAATAATAAGTTTCTTGTAAAATTGAAACAATTATCAAGTATTATTAAAGAGCATTGCCTATGGATCCTCCGAACTTCGCTGTTCTTCTAAGTTTCCACCAGTGCAAAGACAAAACTTTCGATACAATTCAACGGATTTATTTGAACGTTTCGTACAATCAATTTTAAAAACCGGTAAGCTTATAAATAATTGCCAGTGTTTTTAATTTGCTTTCGCAAAAAATTATTACGTGTCTAACTCAAATAAACAACACTCAAATTAAACCCTTCTAAATAAGTAATTTCGCGCAAAAATTGAAACAATTAACAACAGGTTTGATTGAGGGGGTCCGACTTTCGTTAGAATAAATAGAAAAACGGATTTAAAAATTACCAAATTGTTATAGGAGTTGAGAGGAGTTCAAAAACGTCTTACCAAGTTCAATAAGGCACACAAACAATATCACAATTTAAAAAATTTATTTTTAATTTAATTCTCTTGGCTAAGTATGTTTTATTAATATTTATAAATAATTTCATGGTATAATTTCTCGACGTCACAAGAGAGACAGTTTTACAAAGAGTAACAGAACATCAGGAACTTACAGAACTTAAGATCTTGGATTTTTTATTCTATTGATTTTTAAAATATTAAATAGGTCTACATTGTCAAAAATAATCTTTCTTAATTTTTAAATAAATGTACTTTCGTTAGATTAAAACGAAACTGAACAACATGAACTGATGGTACATACAACCTAAGGTTTATTTATTTATTTTTTAATGTACTCGCAATAATACAAAATTTTTTGATCCAATCCACTGGCTTTGGCCATAATAATTTTTAACCTGTTGACTGAAATTATAAATAAATTTCTTTGATTGAAATTAATCGTCTGTGGGTCCGCCTATCTTCGCTCTTTTTTTATATATATAATCCGACAAGAATAATCATATGAAATTGATTTCTTGGGGGAAAAAATTGAACTGTAATACATAGAAAAAATTATATAAATTTTTATATTAGTATTAGTTTGATTCTGTTAAATTGAATATATGGTATTGTTAATTTAAAACCTGATAAATTTATAAATGAAACCATTTTAAAGTTTAAAAAAAATTAAATTTGACACTTTTGACGAACATTGAGATGAAATGAAGTTTGGGGATGGTTAGTTCTCTGTTCATCTTTTATTCACGTTCCGTATAGAAGGGTTCACAGAAGAAGAATCTCACTTTCTTAACAATTGATTAATTAAAACAATTGACAAGTTTTATAGTATAAACTACTGCATATTTATATAAATAATATTAATAAGATTCGGTTCAATTCATTGCATATATTTGAAGTTTAATCGTAAAGTTTAATAATAAATATAGTTGAGTTATATTTAATCATATGTATTTGTGGATTTGATGTCCATCTACTCCAATTGGGGGTGCGGTTTTTAAAAATTAATTACTGTTGTAATTCTATAAGCTTTCGAACGTTGATTCAATCTTCTTCAGTTTGCTAAAAAAATAATTAATAATTAAATTGATTACTTATATGTATTGGATGGATTTCATGTTCAATTATTGGACATACAATTTTAATTGACTTATAGTATCTTTTTATTGAGTGATTGGAAAAGTTCGGTTTTTAAAATTTAAATTAGTTTGTTTTTTTATTTAAAAATGTATAAAATAAAATAAAACAATAAGTTAAAAGCAAGGTGAGATAACAATATCGTTATCTCTAATATGCCAAATAATCTTCCTTTTTAACAAAAGGAATTATAAAATCAAAAATGTAACAATTTAAAAAAAAAAGTTAAAAAATGAAAGCTTATCGGATCAAAACTGTAATTAATTGAAAAAAACCCTGATCCATCGTTCGAGTTTAATCATGTGAATAATTTTATATTAAATTTAATGTCAGATTTTGTTATATTCATATTTTCACTGAATAAACGATTTTTATCAATAAAATCAGATTTAATATTTTAGTGTGTAATTAACTTACTACTTAATGTAATAGACTTTCTCCCCGTGTTCCTACAATAACTGCTGTCGCTGAAGTACAATTAAATATCTCTGCTTTTCCGATTAAATTACCTCGAGCTAAGCAAAACGTAGGTTATCATGCTTTTTGAACTTTAACTGTAATTTTTCTGACGAACTATGAGTAATGATAATTTCGTTAATGTTAGACTTGTCTCTGTCAGAATTTCGGGACCCGTATAACTCTGATAAAAGCCCAGTGGGTTTTGTTTATCATATGTTGACCGATGCAGAATCTACAGTTAACTTTTTCACATTCGCAGTCCCGGCTTAAACTTGACAGCGAAAGCTTTTGACCAAAGCCGTTTATGTTTAAACCAACCTGCTGAATTAACAAGCAGGAAATCGTTTTGGAAAGTTATCAAAACCGCTCGTCCTTTCCCGGTACAATTATCTATAAAGAAAATTTACATTAACATTCCATTTAAGATATGTTACATTTTACTCTGGTTCAGGATTTTCATCACAATAAAACAATTAATAACAAGAACAAACATCGGCTTTATCTTCTTTTTAATTGTAAAGAAATTCTATCCTCGAGCACATGGTGATGATAGGTGTAAGTCTGATAGCATCGTACGAATTATACAAACTCGGTGTTCTAAACCTTGCTATCTAATCAAAAATATATCCAGGAAAACCTAAATCAAGTATTCTTTTGAAAAAATTTCTTTATCAAATTTGGAACTTAGAAATAGAAAAAAATAAATCTGGAATCGTTTAATTTATAATCACATATAATTTTGTTGCCTTATATTGTTTTATTATGTTGAGATCCATGAATGAATCAATGTGTTATTTTGAAAAATTGACAGTTCATGGAATCCATGTGCTCGTAAATTGAAATAATCGACCTAAATTATAACACGACATTAATTTTTTTCCGTTTCTTGAGTAATATTTGATACGAACAAAGTCAGTTTAAAGTTCTAAGTTAAAGAAACAATGCAATATTAGGGTGGAAAGTTTGAAGTCCATGAAACGTTTCTAACAATCCTAAACTACAGTAAAAAAAATGAAAAACTTACAAATTTTGAGTAAAATCTACAGTCCAAAAAACAAATTTGGCGTAAATTTTAGTGTTTTTACGTAAAAATGAAAATGAACAATGAAACAAATTAGCTAAGATTTTTTTAAATTGGCTAGTTTGTTAGATAAACAATGCAATATCGGCATGGAAAGTTTGAAGTCCAAGAAACATGTCTAAAAATCCTAAACTACCATAAAAAAAGAGAAAACTTACAAATTTTGAGTAAGATCTACAATCCAGAAAACATAAATTTTAACGTGTTTTCACGTAAAAATGAAAACATACACTGAAATAAATAAGGTAAGATTTCTTTTAATTGGTTTTAGGTTGTTTTATTTTAATCAAGAGTATTTAAGTATTTTCAGTTATGGATTATCTCTTTTACTGTAAGATCACTGACATGTTTCCTTTAATCCCAAAACACCAACTTCTCTGTTTTTGTTTATTTATGTATATTCGACTTTTTTCACCCTGCGGCTCAGAATGTTTTCAACAAGGTGAATAATCCGTCCACCGGTTGAATCACCCGTTGTTTCTTCAACAAGGATCACTCTTCCAAATATATTTATTCCAGGGTGCGAGTTGAGTAATGAGTAATGAATGAGTCAATGGACCGTTAGTGCCAGACAGTTTGACTCAGTCAATTTGACGCTATTCCGTTTCTTTTTCCCCTCGCCGTCAGGTCTGACACACGAAGGATTTTGAATCAGTCATCCGACCGGTGACTATCCCGTTGGGATGTTGAGATGTTGAGAAATCCCCAGTCGTCCAACACCAACGGATTTACGTCGGCCCACTTCTTGATAAAACGTAAGTTATCTATTTGAAACAACAATACCTTATTCAAATGTTTGACTTAAGAACAAATTTATGAATGAACATTATTGTTTATTTTCTAAACAAACCATTTCATCACGTCTAGCTCCTTAAATATCGGCCTTTCTTTCTAAATGTAACTGGAAATATAAACTTCTCTCTTTTAGTACTATCAGTATTCATTCAGGAAAACGCTTGTTTCGAATGAGATAAAGTACCCATTGAAGTGGAATGCAACATTGCACCCAAACAAAGCGAGAATAGGCGAACCATGATAAAGGTCTAACAACTAAGAGGCTAAATTCTTCATTGAACTTTTAATCTTAATCCATTAACTATATTAATTATTCTTTTTATGTAAGGTCTTGGTTGAGATGAAAAAGGTGTGTCACGAGCGGGATTCGAACACACGACCTTTGGCTCAATACGCCGCTGGTCTAACCACTTGAACTATCGTGACTTCGAATTTTGATATTACGTTCAAACAATAAAACTTGTGGTAGAAAGAAATGTTTCAATGATTTTACAATGTTCTATTTCTTGGAATTTTAATATCTTCACAGATAGTTTAAAAATGGTACCTTATTTAAATACTAAACATAAATTTTTTTATTATTATTGCTACTAATGTGTGGTGTTTAGTGACCGTTAGTCAATGATTATTCGGAGATCGTGAGATGAGGTCTGGTGTGACGTAGGTTTTAGAAAAACATTTTCTTCATCGTGCCAACGTTTCGATCTTTATTGAGATCATCTTCAGGGCCTGGGATTTATAAACATTGTTTAAATTATACAAATACATGTAGGACGTGGAAAAAATGAATTGATACAATGCTAGAAAATTTTATATTAAAAAAAATTAATTTATACAATGCTAGAAAATTTTTTAGATTTAAACAAATGAATTTATATAATGCTAGACACATTTTTAGATTAAAAAAATGAATTTATACAAAGCTAGAAAATTTTAGATAATAAAATTATACAACGCTAATAATGGCATTGTATAAATTCAATTTTTTTAAATCTAAAAGTTTCTAGCATTGTATTATTATATAAAATTAATTTTATATATAAATTCATTTTTTTAGCTAAATATTTTAGCATTGTATAAATTCATTTTTTCCACATCCTACAAGTATTTTTAAAATTTAATCCAAGTTTATAAATCCCAGGCCCTGAAGATGATCTCAATAAAGATTGAAACGTTGGCACGATAAAGAAAACGTTTTTTTAAATCCTACCTCACACCAGACCGCATCTCACGATCTCCGAATAATCATTGCTACCAATGTCAATTTTCTTGTTTTACCCCTTTTCTTGAGTTTAATGCTTCTTATGAAAATTAATAAGAGAATTTTGTCGAAATAACGTATCTGAGCAAAAATCTTTCTCCTATTTGGGAAACTGAAATTATCCATGAGGGCATGGGGTCAAAGACCATCTTCATCGAGATTTAGAGAGATCGGCCGGCTATGATCCGATCAGCATATTTCCCCATTTTCATGGAAGTCAAAAGGAGAGTATCACTCGTGATAAGCGTTGTCAGAGTCGGCGGATATGTTACGTTTCCGTTCTTCGAAGCCTGTTTCGATATTCATGTTTTTTAACCCTTTTATCTACTTATCTCGGCGGTATTTTATTCAGTCGAGATTTGAAACAATTTCTCGATCCGGACGCACCTTGTTCGAAAATTGTAGATGTCTGCTGATTCGCAAAATTGATTGTTTTCTGCTGAAGTTAATTTTGAGGTGTAAACCTTTATCCTTGGTGGTAGAAAAAATTATTTATTTAAAATGACGATTAACTCATCCGTTTACTCAAGCTTTCCTTACGAGGCCAAAAGAACTTTTTTTCAACCTAACAAATCCAACACTAATGATATTAAGCTTTTACGTCCATAAAGTTATTTAGTGTCAAGAATTTTAAATTAATTTACATCTACCTGTTTTTCTCACCTAGTTGACTCACTTGAATTTAAATCTAGTTTATTAGCACGATACACTTTTATCTTGAGGTATTCTCAACTTTAAACAATCCAGCTCACACTTTTACGAATACTTTATAACAACTGTTCAATTGGTGAAAATTTCATAAAAATCATAGGTTTCAGGAACGTGCGCTTTAATCAGTATAGTTATGCAAATAAAAAAACTCTTTAAAACGGTGGATAAAATAGTTCTCATTTAAAATTTGAAAAGTCGTACTGGCTCTGAAGTAGGTATTTAATTTTAAAAAAACAGTAAAAATTTAAAAATAAAATCACAATTCATCTGTGCAGAGTATTTTTCTAATCGTGTTACAAAATTTGCCATTAAATTCTGCATTCAAAATGGAACCCAAAAGTCCTAATTATTTATGGTCCTAATCACAACAGTTTCAGAGTTACTCCCTTTTTTCTGATTTTTGCTTGCTTCAATTAAACAATGGTAACTCCAAAACTAAAATGTTTTGGACAAATCCGTTGAAACCACTGAAAACTACGTTAAATTTCCAACAAGATACGACAAATAATAAACTTGTAAACGTTGGTGAAATAAGCGTTTTAATACCCAGAACTTTGTAAAATGTTTTTCATTTCAAAATTGAAAAAATTAGTATGGTAATTTTAAACTACTATTTCCAAACCTAGAGACCAGCAAATTTCAGAAAACGTACACCATTTAATATCCTTTTTAGTGGTGTAATTGCTTTTTTCAAAGACAAAGAAATTAATGAAGGAATGGAAAAACTGATTGACGGATTGGTAAGGTGGGAAGATTAAAAAATAATTAACAAACCGAAATAGTGCAAGTATTTATCTATTTTCCAACACGAGTGCAACTTTGATTATAGGATTATTGTATTATTATTCCCCGAAATAATAGATTTTTATGATTCAAAACGTCCATTCAATTAAAATTTTCTTAAGTTTTTTATTTTTTTATTGTTATTAATCTTTCCACTTTATCATGCCGTCAACTACGATTTTTTCCTTTCCTTCATCAATTTCTTTATCTTGGCAAAATGTAAATACAAAAACAATTACACCACTAAAAAGAATATTAAGTGGAGTACATTTTCTGAAATTTGCTGGTCTCTAGGTTTGGAAATAAATAGTTTAGAATCACCGTAGTAAGTTTTTCAATTTTGAAATAAAAATTATTTTTCAAAGTTCTGGCTACTAAAACGTTTATTTCACCAACGTTTACAAGTTTATTATTTATCGAATCTTGTTGGAAATATAACATAGTTTTCAGTGGTATCAATGCGTCTGTCCAAAACCTTTTAGTTTTGGTGATATCATTATTTATTTGAAGCAAGGCCGTGAAATCTTAAAAAATCAAAAAAAGTGTAATAAGTCCGAAACTGTTGAGATTCGGACCATAGTTTCTTAGAAGTTTTTGGTTCCGTTTTGAATGTAAAATTTACTGGCATCAACTGTTTGTTACTCTCGTAGCCGGACACCCTGTACAAAAACCTATAATTTCTGAGCAAAACTATTTCTCCATGCCCCCAATAATCCAAAATATTAATATTATTAAAAATACAGTAGAAAAAATGTATAATTATTTTACCTTTTCATATATGTAACTTATAAGATAACAAACAAAAAAACTTTTTTAATACTAAATAAGAAAAAGAAAAAAATAAAAGATTGAACAAGATGAAGTTACTCAATATGCAGGGTGACATTATTTAGAAGGTTTCACTGAAAAAAATAGTAAAAATTTGCAAAAAAGAAGAAATATTTAAATGTTTTACTATTTATTCAAATCTGAAATGAATTGAAAATGTATACAGTTATTACCTCCCATAAAACACCCTATAGGAACAATAAAAAAAACTGCAAAATAGTTTATACGTTAAAAAAACAAAAATATAGGGAAAACAACGCAATTTTTATACAAAAGGCTAAACAAACGCAAACAAGATGTAAAAAATTAGAAAGACAACACAGGTTTAAGTCTACACATCACAAATTCAGGACATCATATACATTTTAAGGATGTAAAAAATACTAGGGAGAGAAAACAATAATGTAAAATTATTAGAATTGGAAAACATTACCTCAATATAGATAACAATAATATCAACATTTAACAAGATAAAAACAAAATTTGTCAACAGTATAAAAACATATTAACAATGTACAAAAATAATTTTAAGAACATAAACATAAATATAAACAAAACAAAACTGTAATTAATAATAAGTAAACACGATCTGTAACAAGTAGGGAACCTACTAGGTTGATGCTTGTCAGCAAATAAACCAAGTTAATAATAAATCGAATATAAAAATTTCGCTATTAAAACCTACATTAATTTGTAATTTTAGAGATTAAGCCTAAAGAGGGGAAGCCACCGAAATCGATTTGATAAAAATAAAAACACTTAGAAAAAGAGATTTTATTGTTGAAGAAGCCTACATGTTATTCTCCAGCCCGTAAAAGGAAAAAACGAAAAGATATAGGATAATTTAAAACTATATTTAAAAATATTAAATATATATTTTGATTTTTCGATAAAATTATCTGATCAAGGGAAATTCAGCCGGGCCATATAAAAAAACACCCTGTATAAAAATTATAAAATAAATATTTATGCATTAAAAGAACTGTGCCTTTACGGACGTCCTCTGTAGTCAAAACAATGGATCAATAGCAAGGACAGGCGGACCAGTAACTTATACTGGTTTTTTTAACTATCGAGTTTTAATACCTTACAATCTCACTATTTCCCCATAATAGGTTATTAGCTATTTAATAAAGATTAATTTTTATCAAAACGACGATTATTAAATACTGCCCAGTTTTAAAATTAGGTATGTAATTGTTCTATGTTCACACTGATTCGAAAGAGGAAAAACTTCTTAAAATAATTTTTCTCTTTGAGAGCTTTTAACAACTACCAATGATAATCCTTAGAGTAGATTTTCCATTTGGACCGTACAGTCGAAGAAATCGGTTCGCATTGTTCTTGGAGGATGTCAACCGTGCACAATACTGTCCA